GGGCGGGGTGAGAATGGGCGGAGGGTTAGTAGATTTCGCCAGTCTTCACTCCAAGCTGGGCGCTTGGTTGGCGACGTGCGGCTTTGGTCCGTTGTTGTCTGTGAAGCTGTGGCTACTGCTGGCGAGGTGGGCGCGTAGCTTGCTGACGATCCTCCTTCGACAAAGGCTCTCCACGTAGGCGTTCTCCACGTAGTTAACTGGTTGACTGATTGTCCTCCTCCGACAATGACTCTCCACGTAGTTTGCTGTCGAGGTGGGATGCGAGTGAGCTCTTCCCACGCAGATTYTGTTTCGACCGTCGAATGGGCTCTTCGCCGGCTTATGTCCGGATGCCCAAAAATGAAGAAGGTGGATTCACGTGGCGATGGTGGGAGGAGGGTTGTCCCTCCTGCTTGGCAAGAGGAAGGGCGGCTGCTGCCGCTGGTCTCGAGAATCGAATGCTATTCCAATCGGGGTTCGCAGAGGCGCGTCTTCTGCGCGCTGGCTGTCTCGGATGAGTCACGTCCCGATCAGTCCGTGTGCTCCTTGATGCTTCTGGTCTCCCTTCCCACGTGCGTGGGGTGCTGATGGCAGGATCCTCGGTGGCTGTCAGTTCCATCTCGGCGATGGCCGTCGACGTTGGGCGATGGCGGCGAGGTGAGTTCGTGTTGTCGCGTTCGAAAACCCGGCGCGCAGCTCGGCCGGGCGCAGGATCGATGGGCGGGAATCGGCTGGTGCGTGGGTGCTGGGCGGGTGCCCGCGGGCGAGAGCCCGGCGGGGTCGGGCCGGTAGCTGGCGTGAATTAGTGCAGCTTTCCGGTAGCGCTATCCGTCGGCGCTGGCGCTAGTTACTTTCGGTGCTGGCTGTGAATGTTTCTACATTTTGTCTTGCTGCCAATTTTTGCAGATTGATTGTCATTTCGGTTGTTTCCCTGTTTTGATCCCTCAGCACAGTGATTTGTGCTTTGAGGATCTCCTTTTGCCTGTCGAGATCCTCCTTCTCGTCCGAGGGTCTGTCCTCTCCGTCTTCTTCTGGTTCTTGGTTCTGTGCGCTTGCTGTCTGGGTGGGTTGCCCTTTTCCTCTTCCTCCTCTGCGTTTTTTGTTCGGTTTTTGGGAGTCTGCGTTAATGTAGGACTTGGGCCAGATGAGGCTGTTCAGTGTTTGGTTTCCTTGATTGCCTGCATCTGCCAGTTTGGCGCCGTACCGTGCAGCAAAGAATTCTGACAATTCCTGTTCTCATTCTAGGATTTCGTATTGATTGTCTGTGGGGAACAGATTGCTCAGTGTTTGCTGTGTCGGGTTGAAGTTTTGTAGGTTGCAGATGTGTTTTTTGTGTGCAACTTTGATTTCGAATTCTACTTCCCTTTCTCTTTCCAGTCCCTTGACGTATTCTGCGAGCCAACTGTGGGTGTCTTCCTGATCTTCCTCACTTGTTCCTTCAGGTGCATCCTGATCTCTTCCCATGTGTGCATCTTCCTCTGAAGAATCCTGTGCTATGTTGTCATCTGCCATAGTCCCGTCTTCTTCCCCATTCTCTTTTCCTTCTCCCTGTTCACCTCTTCCTCCTGCTGTGCCTTCCTCATCTCCTTCCTTCATCATTTCTTCTCCTTCTTCGTTGTGGCCTCCCTGGGTTCCTCTATGTTTCCTCCCTTTGCTGTCCGCATTTCCTCCCTCTTCTTCTTCCTGGTCTTCCTGTGTCTTGTCAAAGTCTGCTTCCATCTCCTCCGTTGTTGTGTCGAGACCCTCGAGTTTGGTGCTTTTGCCCTGTGCTGTGCTGTGGGCAGGCGAGTTGGATGGAGATTGGTTGGCTTTTCTTTTGAGCCTTTTGTGTGTACCATTGGATGAGCTGTCCCCTTGAGGTTTCTGCGATTCCTTGGTAATCTGTTGGGTATTATGCGTATTGGTTGCTTGTAGGATCTTGTCTCGTGCATGCATATTCTCAAAATAGGCTTTCTCAGTTGAGCTGCCTGTTTTGATTAATTCCTGCAAGGTGTCTTTCCTGTGCTCGTCTTCCATAATCCCTTGCGAGTCCAGGATTTGCTTTTTTAGGTAACCTCCTTCCCTGTCTTCGATTTTCCTCGCCCCCTTTGTTTGCCATTGGCTGCCGTGTGGTGGGTATACATCGGGATGGACTGATGGTTCACCCTGTAGTGTCCATACCCATTTTGGGTCATCCAACCTGTTGCGAAGACCCATCCATGGTAGGTGGGGTCGTCGACGAACCACAGACCTGAGATTGCTTCACATTCGACCAGGTTAGCTTGGATCTGTCCTGGTTTCCCTGCTCTGTCCCTGTTGAGCGGACAACTCCTGTCGGTGTCCAGGTGACCCTTTCCTCTACACTTGAAGCATCTTGGGTTGGTTTTGGTGGAGAGGAAGACTGTCAACTTCTGACCATTGGATTTTTGGAATAGTCAGGTATTTGGAAACTGTAGGGAGATGCCTGACGGGACTTCCAGACAAGCGATTCTGGAGTCATGATTGGGAGCTAGGAATTCAGGGCCTGAAGCCAGCCATTCGATGACTGGGTTGTTTGGATATGCTTTCGCCAGCTTGTGCTCCACGAAGCTGTGCAAACCCTCCGCGATGTTATCGAACTGAATCCAGAAGTGGTTTCGCAGCATGTTCTATCTGTGTCTTGAGGCATTGGGCTGCGGAGCTCGTCTGGGTTTCCAGTTTGTAAATGTGACTACTCCCCTTTTGCATTTGAGACTGTTTAAGGAGATTAGGTAGCGTGCGTAGGCTTTATCCGGGGCGACAATCATGACTGTGTTGCGCGCTCGTTTATGGTATGTGATGTCTGGTTCCGTGCCTGGAATTTCCTTGAGGGATCGGAGGATGTCCTGGACCCAAGAACATTTTTCATTCGGGGACATGTCTGCGCACTTCTGTGGGAAATTAAACAAGACTGCGTGCTTGTTAAACACCTCTTCACAGTTGGACTCATCTTCTTCCGGATATTCCCAAATCTCTACCTGCTTTTCTCCTTCTCCTTCGTCTGAGGGGATCGCCTGTTTGATAAGATTCACTTTGGATTTGATCTGCTTGCGATGAGAAAATCCATTGCCTTTTGGGCCAGGGACCTCGAGGCCACTTCGGAGGTTGAAGATTTTGAGTCTTTTTGTGAGTTGCCTGAAGGTGGCGCTTGTGATCCCCGTGGAGCTTGAGCCTGGTCATGTGAATGTCCTCCTGGAGTGAGCTCTTTATCCGGGTTTGCGGGATTTGTTGGCTTCTGTTGCTTGGACTCTTTCTTTAATGTCTCAGCGTACGAGATCGCCATGTTGTGTTGGTGCTTCAATTTGCGTGGTTGCAGTCCTGTGATCCTGCTTTCCGGTGTGTCTTGCGTGGAGAGAATCTGTGTATAGTTTATCCGATTTAATCTTCAGAAATGTGGCCCGCGTTCAGCATCCCTTCTTGGGGATCGTACAGAGATCGGAAGATGATCTTCTCTTTCTCTATCGGGGATGATCAGCTGCTTACCGGCAGGGGAGAAATGTTCTAGAATCAGATAGATTCGAGTATTGAGCCAGAGGATTTCCTCTGAATTGCTATGTGGTGCTAGTGGCGTGAATAAAATAATAATTAATAATTAGATAATTATTAATTAATTATAATTACACCAATAAAGAATGACAATAAATAATATATCAATTTACTGAATTTTACTCTAAATAATTACCAAGACAATCACTTGGCTTGGGGATGAGAGTTGTGTGGGAGTCTGCAATGTGGGGATCAATGAGTTAGGCTACTTGTTGTTTGTTTCTCTCATGGTATTGTGTTTCCTCGCTTGGTTGGAGGGTGGTCAGTATATCGTATGTTAAACGGTCGGTGTGACTGTGCACTCGGCGGGGGGTGGGGGGTAGCTCTGTAGGGAGGGCTTGAAGTGATATTGGGCTTTAGGTGGTGGTGTTGGGTGTAAGTGTCGTTCAGGAGGGGTGGGAGTGAAAGAATATTACTGTTGGGTTATTCTGGGTGGTAGGGTTCGAGTTATTCTTCTTCTTATTTCGGTGGGTAGAGCCTACTCCCTTCCTATGCTTGCTTTAGTTTGGTGCTGAGAAGTGTTGTGTGGACTGGTAATAATGGGGTGTGTGGCGATGTGGGATAAGTCGTGCCGTGGGGAGAGTACTCTCAGCATGAGGGTTATGCTAGCGCAGTGGGGGGTGAGTAGGGTGTAGTGGTCAGTGTGTGTGTGGCGGGAGGTTGGTGCGTGTGTTGATACTACGAGTTCGGGCGACGACTAGGGTGCGCTCCAAATAGGTTTTTGTGCCTCTCTATCTAGTCTTCTTTGCCAACGCCGGGATCTGCATTCGAGCCCTTTCTTCCACCCGTGGTACCGGAGCCGACGGTGTTGGACGAAATCTGTAATTCTGTTTGTCTCGTCCGTCTGTCTTATACTGTCTGGCTACTCGATAAAGGGTTGGACTTCGGAAGTTACCCACAAATACCCATGTTCCTCTATTCTATATTCGGAAGTTGAGAATGATGGTTTCTCGGAATCCTTCCCGATAAAGGTCTTGTGCTCCCTGGTGAAAGCCAAAGTGTGGTCTTCTGTCCTCCTTTCGCTGAGGTTCGCGCCCGCTGAGATCGTAGTATTTATGAGTGGCTAGACTTACCACATTAGAAAGGAGTCTGTCTGACCTTATGTGATGCTGCGGTGTGTCTCCGCATCGGTTGTCACTCGCTGATGCTGTGTGGGGCTTGAAAAAATAAACCCCGTCTTGTGACCTCTTCGATCCTCTTCAATTCTTCTTTCTTTACTCCGTCCCTTCCCTTGCCTCTTTCTTTACTCTTCACTTATTGCGTCGTGGTCGCCTGTTCCCTAGCCCTTATAGGACATTTCTTTCCTTGTCCCTTTCCTTCCTTTTCCCTTTTCTTTCCGCACTTCAGTGTTGTTTCATCGTCCTTCCTTACCCATCATTGTCCGCCCTTGTCCTTTCCGTTGTTTAGCTGTGGCTTGTTTCCTCACTCCCTCCCGTCCTTCTTCCCCTCCTCTTCCCTTCCTTTGCTTGATCGAGGTAGCCACGCCCGAAGGTGTGGCGTGACCTGGCGTGTGTGGTTTCTTGCCTCTCCTCTCTCTTTCCCGCCCAGAATTGAACGTTCGAAGTGGAAGACGTGCGCGATGCTTTCGCGCTGGTTCGCACGCGGGACAGGCGAAAATCGCGAGCGTTAGCGGACCGTGCTAACCGGTACGGCGCGAGCGCTCCGAAGCGCACCTCTCTGGTTAACAAAGCCCTAAATTTTCAGGGCAGGTTTTTTTCAGGGTCATTATAACAAACGTCCCACACCTTTATCGCAACTTGGCAGCAGAAAAGGGCTTATTATAACAAACGTCCCACACTTTAACAGTACTTAGTGCTTGAGATGTTCTTCTTCTATTTTTCTTTTTTCCTGACTGACATACCAGTTTTTTGTCCCAAGTCAGGGTTGGTGGCATAAAACATGAGGTGCGTGGATTTCTCTATGCATTTATGACTGCAAGCTCGGAATAACATGCTTGCATAATGGTCTGTGTTGCCTCCAACACACTGCTCATGGGGAAACCAATCAACAATGATGAAGAGCATGTCGTTTCTATCCTTTGCCACCGGTGAAGGTCCGGAAGTGGCCTTTCGAAGTTGCCTCACGTCCCCCACCCATGAAGTCCATGGAGATTGACTGCCCAAGCCCTCTCGGTATAGGCAACAGTTGCAGAAGTCCATATGGTTGATGACTTCTGGTTTTTGTTCGTTGGCAAACAGCACAACTATTTACGTATTCCGCTGCATCATTCCTCATGGAAGGCCAATAGAAACGCTCAGATAACCTCATTAAGGTCTTCTTGGAACCGAAATGCCCTTGGATGTTGTACCATTGGCCGAGCACATTCACCCTCAATTCTTGTGGCATGCAAAGTCTTTGCACACCCTTGTATATATTCCACGAACAGCAAAGCCCTCTGCAATGTATAATCCGGTGTTGAACCCGGATCTGCCTTCAGATTTGCGATCACCCTTGTATACCACGAATAGCAAACCCCTCTTCAATGTATAATCTGGGTTCAACACTGGTGAAACGGTTTCACCTTTCTGCTGTCACAAATGCGGGGCCTAGAGTTCGAACCCCAGACCTCACTTTGCCCATGTACAGTATCGAGTCGACCCCGAGTGCTGGAACCCGTGACCTGTGTTTTGGTAGTTGTTTGTCGTTTGTCATAAGTCTGTGTAGTGGTAGGGGTTCGATCTGCAGGTCTGTCGAATAGGAGTCACAGCCCTGTAGAGGTCGTAGCTGAAGGTATTCTTAAAGGTCAAGGTCGTAGCTGCTACAGTCCTGAAAGGTCAAGGTCGTAGCTGCTACAGTACTTGAAAGGCCAAGTCCACAGAATTCCGGAAGGTCTGGAAGTGGCCTTTCGAAGTTGCCTCACGTTTAGTCAGAGGCAAGTGGGCAAGTGGTGAGCCCAACTGCGTTACGTCGGCAGAGCGACTGCATCGGGTTGGCAGTGCAAACCCATCCAGTCAGCGGTACCAGTCCAGCCAGTCCCAGTCCAGTCAAGCAAGTACCATGAGGGACTGTGTGCACCAGGGGCCCGGTGGAAAGGGGCAGACCAATGAGTGACAGAAGTATAAATCAAGAGGCAGCGCCCAGCCATTCATTCATTCGCTGCGTAAGCCATGTGGAAGCGCTGCCCCAGCGACTTGTGCGAGCTGGGTCTGCAGAGCGCCTGAAGCCGAAGTGGGCAAGAAGAAGATAGCGTAGCCATAGTAGTAGTAGCGAGCGGCCATAGCTGCCATGGGTTAGAGATAGGGGTTAGTGTGTGTGTGTGTGTGTGTGCGTGAGACCGAGTACATGTGCGTGGAGTATTCAGGGTGATCCAGAGTGGAGTACGTGCGAACAGTCGTGTTGGACACAGCGACGAGAGTTGGGTGTACGGGTGCTGTTGCGCCATAGCTGGATGAAGCGAGTTTGCATCTGAACTGTGGTCTTGGTTTGCATATCTCTGAGCTTTGAGTGGTCGCCTGGCGCCAGTGTGAATTGCTATCTGTTTGCATGTATGCGAAGTGAAGAAGAAAGTGAGTCTGATTGCACTGGATCTGCCTTCAGATGATCAGCTGAGAATACACAGGATCAGCTGCATAGGCTCTCGCAATTCTGTCAATCAGACTGTT